TGGCAATTCCAGATCTGAAATCATTCAAATAATTCTAGTAAAGGTGTATGTAGTCTAAAAACACAGTGGAGCTGTATTACTACATGACATCACAAGGCAGAACAGAGTGTTTTCTGTTGGAGAGAAGAACTCCACCTAATTATGCAATATTTGTGTGTTAAACATGTGTACATGAAACAAAACACAATTACAGGTATGCTTTTAATGAGGAAACAACATTATAACATAGATCAGAAAATGGCGCACTGTAAACCCCTTTAAATTAAAAACTCTTTCTTTCTGTTCTATTCTGTCTATTTCTAGAAGGTAACACAACCTGGAAATCCTTTAGTTGTAGTACAATGTGAACGTGACCGTGTTTCATTATTTAAACTGTAGGTAAGTGTGTCAGTGGGCTATGGTGTGGTTCATCTTGGTGAAAGAAGAGTATAATGAAACCATCAGTCATCCCACTCCACACTGGGTCACACATGTCCAGAGCATCCCAGGGGGCAAGTAGATACATGGGCACATCAGCTCCTGCTCTATGGACAATATATATAAAAAAAATAACGACCAAGCATCTTGTGTTTGACTTTCAGAAAATGACAGATTCACATTGTCCAGGAGTTTAAGACAAATGTAGTTATGACCAGCTGCCCTTGTCTCATCACGAGGTAAGGATTGATTATGATGCTGTGTAGGTCTGAAATAAAGCTTGTTTTTCAGATATCAGTGAGGCTTGGGGTGCTTGTCTGTCATTAATCCAGTGGTCTATGAGAAATAAAGGTAAAAGGAAAGATCTGTCTGATATATGCTCTGTGCCAGTTGTTGGATATTAAGATACTTACTTTTTGGGAAGGATTTTTTCTTTTTGTTTCAGGGTCTATTTGTTAGATTTGAGCCTGATTTGAGACTTACTTTCATCATTTAACCCCAACCCCATTTAAGAACAGGTAGAACTTGCAACATCTTCCTTTGTTCTCATTTTGAGGAGGTAAATTGACTCTAGTGAGCTTTATGCCATGTTAGACTGTTGTTATACATACCTGGAGTTTTGTTTTGTTTCATTCACACATGTTTTAGTAATCCTTAATTATTAGTGTACGTCTCCGAAGCTCAAAATGCTCTGCTCCACCTTGTGATGTCATGTAATAGTAGTTTTCAAGTTAAACACTACCCTTTACCTTTATTTCAGTAGAGATTGGCAGTTCCAGGGCTGATATTATCTGAAGGTGTATGGGGTTTAAAAGCACAATAGAGCACTTCCTGTATTATTGCATTATATCAAAAGGTGGAACAGAGTGTTTTTAGTTTGAGAGAAGAACTCGGCCTAAATATGCAGGGTTTGTGTGTTAAACATGTGTAAATGAAACAAAACACAAGTCCAGATGTGTTTTTGATGAGGAAACAACATTATAACATCAGAAAATAGCACAAGATGAGCCCTTTAAGTGGTTTATCCTCCACATAAATACATTTAAATCCCAATTGCTTGCATCTTGTGTGACGAGTTTATAAACCATCTTACCAATTTAGTACTATACAAACATCTATAGTTACATCACCAGTCATGCACATTAAATCCTGTTAATTGATTAAATGTTTATTCCTCAAAATGTAGAGTAAGTTCATGAAAAATGTAACAAGGGACAAGATTCCAGCAGTACATTGACCTTTTCACTGGACGTCCGCAGGGCTGCTCTCACACAGAACTGCAGTGGTGTTTTCTAATCGAGTGAACTTGACAATAATTGAACTGTTTTATTTTGCCCTTCTTATCCCACATAAAAGACCGCCATGCCAATTAGCTTTAATTCCCCTTTTTCTTTTCATGCACTGGAGCAGGCACAAACCGTCATATTGGGATCATTTGCATTATCCAAAGCCAATCTGCTTTGAAGTTCTGAGATCCTGTAAGAAAAAGGATCCACTTATCCCACATGAAAAAATGTTCAAAGCTCATAAATTCAGTGGAACAGATGTACATTATCATTGGATTTGCCTCTCTCCCGCTCTGCTCCGGTATTGGTAATAGTCTTCCTCATGTCCTTCTCATCCGTAGCATTTAGCATCTTGCTTTTACAGCGTCTTGTACCCTGCTGGGCCAGTCCTCACTTCAAAGCTGCCGTGTATTTGCTGGAAACAAAGCACACACAACATATCATGGCAGTCTCTCATTTCCACATATTTAAGTCAATATCACTGCCATCAGACTGGTGCTACACATGTCCACACCCATTCTATTATTCTTTCATCTTTTTATATTAGATTTTATTATTTTATTTTTGGGATATTAGCAATTAACATGAGATCAAGTTGTCTTACAGATCATTTTCTGTGCAAGTCACAACAACTTATTCATTCTTATCAAATGCTTTAGTTTTACATTAATTACGTGAAGAATATACCTCAGTTAATGGTATTTATCTTTCTGCAGTGTTCTCCAGATGACTACAGTGAACATAATTACTCAGGCTAATTGCTGCGGGTTGTACTCATCTATAAATAATCACTATAGAAATACTAAAACCATTAAAAATGTTGTGTACATTCCCACTGGGATTTACATGGTATAGATCATTAATCTACAAATGAAATGGTTTATTTGTGGCCTCTCTGTATACAAATGTATTAATCTTACAAAAAGATTTCTGTACCAGATTTAGCTTTTCCTACTGCTACTCTCTATCTGCGGTCCCCTCCCCATGGTGCACATATGTGTAAAAATACACATTACGTATTACTTTATATTATTTTATTAATTATTGTCTTATTAAGATACATCATAATTTCTTGCCAAATACATTAAATGGTCTCCTAAATATTTCTTTTATGAAAACCATCAAAGTTTTCCATTGGGGAACCTGTCGGGAAGAGAACTTGATGATAATGCATTTGTCTAGACCTACATGGTATGCAAAAATAAATCTTCATTTTGTTTATGTTTATATATATATATATATATATACACATACACACATATATATATATATACATATATATATATATATGTATATATATATGTTATGACATGGTGGTCTAGGGAGGAGCAAGATTAGGGAGGAGCAAGATTACAGACCATGATTTGAACTTTCTCTCTCTACTCTCACCTCCTTCTCTTGAGCTGTGGACCTATGAGCTTCTTTGGCTCTCATCTGCTCTAAAACACAGCCCTTCTCCACCAGACTCCTGCATTCCTCTGGTCACCTCTCTCCAAATACCCATCTCCTCCTCTCAAGCAATGGACTTCCAGATTGCTTTTCAGATTTTAGCAACTTAAATGTTAGCTTCCTTGTAGCCCTGTTGAATTGTACAATGGGTGGTGCAGGCAAAAGCACCTACGAATATTTACTTTGACCACACCAAACATACTACAATACATACATACAATGGCATGTACTGAGCAGGTGCACTCCAAACTCTATGGCAAACTTTGAGCAGTGGTGTGGCACACACCTGAATACTTTACCATATAAAAGTCCAGGGTGGCTGAGATGAGAAGGACAGTGTCTCCCATGGTGTTATTTCAAAGGCATGAATGCATTACCCAAGCGTTTCTTTGCACAGCTGAGGAAAATCTCCATGAGCACCAAGGCTATTACCAATATACTGTATGTGAGCAGTTGAAAGGAATGCAGATCAAAGTCACAGGAAAAAAAAAAAAAAAGTTTTATGGCAGTGAGCAAAGAGCAGCCCATTCAGCTGTGGCTTGTGTGAGGTGCTGAGTTTTCCAAAGAAAACTTTAAGGTTTGGGTCTCTCTTTGAGAGCAAAGTACCATGTGGTACAGTATGGTCTAGCGTAACCCAACATGTTTTAGCATTTTACAGTTTGAATTTAGAAAGGAAAAACCCTGTAACTACAAGAGATGTTTTTGAGAAATATCATAAGGTGATGTGTGCATTGGTGTAAAAGTGTACCATTGCAAAGTAAAGATCTTGTACATCCTTTATATTTTGGATTCTTAAGTCTATAGATATGATATCTAAATGTAGGTCTAGAAAAGCAGGTATAATTGTGGAAAACATTCAAAATTGTTTTGTAAGCCTAAATGTGTGACTTCATTGATAATTTGTCTCCCTTTAGGTGAGAGGTGATTCTGCAAATGGCTTTAATGTGTGAAGCAGTAGCAATAAAGCTCTGGTAAGCTGTGTTGGACACAAAAGGGCCTTTGTAAAGATGACATTAGTTCAGACGAAGCCATATTATATTACCCAAAGGCAGACCCTGATGTTTGGCTGTGCCCAGAGATAAGCTGCTAAGCTCCACATAAAAGTGAGTGTGCGTGTTGGGGGCATGGCATAGGGAGCAGCTGTGGACTGCCACATTTGGGGACTGTCTCTGATACCAGGCTGGAGATGCACTGACCAGCACTCTCATAGTGAGGTGTCCATAAGGATATTCCAATTCAGTTGTCTGGAAATGATCTTATATAATTTGAATTTTTCCAAATTAACATTATGTATAAAATTAACTTGTATAAACAACTTGACATGACATTTAGATGGTTTAAGTCACTGGCATATCAACTTAAACATGACATATTTAAACTTTAGAATGCTAGCTTCGGCCTACTCCTTCACGTATAGTGTAACTTACAAGTCCTGCACATGTCTAGAGGGGAGCACAGACTCATAACTCTGTACCCAGACCATGGCAGCTTAGGGTCAGACAATCCACTATAGGTGTGAATGTTACTACACACAAGAACAACTATTTCACATTGTTTATATATATATATATTTATTTATTTATTTTTAATTTTTTTTTTATGTCACTATAAACTATCAAAGAGACAAATAATGTCAATGTCAATGGTGAACAGTGTTCTCATTATAGTATTCATTTGATAAATGTTGTGAATTGTGTGTCCAAATGTGTTAGATGGCAACAAATTTATAAACACAATCAATAAGGAAGGAGGACATAAAAGCAATGTTTGCTGTGATGAAAACTTGGGTGACACCACTCAGTGTACTAAGGCAACAAACAAAGGCTTGAAAAATTACAACTCAAAATGTTAAGAACAGGGTTATCTTTAATATTGTAAAATGGCAATTCCCTTGGCACAGATTTGCAATTCAATAAATAAAGCAAGTAATCAATAACCCATCTACTTTTATTTTATCTAAATAGTTTGAAAACAAGTAGAAAGGATGGCAGTGATGAACTTTTACAACATATTCATATGGAAAGGAAAAAAATGAGTTGCCCATTGCAATAAATGGAGTGTGGTAGCTTCATATTCAAATCATAAACTTTAAATTCTAAAAAAGTTTCCAAATGAGTGAAAAAATGCATAATACTGTAATTTTTTTTCACTTTTATCAACCAATCCCTAGCAGCAGCTTATTTGGTTTCAAATAGTGAAAAGCTTAAAACAAATAGACAGTTTATCATAGTAACTAACTGTTGTTGTTGTTGTCTGGACCACCCTGCTGGAAAAATAGTAACCAGTTCAGATTCCATTTCTATATTACACGCTACTCTTACACTGTTTCAATTATTATCCACAGAGTGCTATGAGGGTAAGTTAGCATCACAACAGCTGCAAAAGATGGCTGTTGCTTGCACAAGAATCCTGCTCATCCCAACCACGATGACATCCAACGACAGGGCAGTGAATGGCAGCTTGTACTGTTTTACATTGTGTTAACACCAAGGCACTTCTCATTAAACTAATTCAGATGTCATGTAATTGTCAGAATGCATGTTATCTTAACTCATAATGTTAAATAAGTCCCTCAACCATCCAGAGAACATAGAATAACCTGTATTAAAATGAGCAGACATTTTGAAGAGCTCCCTACAGAGACAGAGAGGCATCCAGCATAGGAATGAGACAGCTGAAAGAAGGCCTGCCCCAAACATGCCACATGCCGATTCTTGTTGGCAATTAATGGGGTCACAGTGGCAAATTTACAGGGCTGCATAGAAAACAGTGGACAGAAATACAACAAATGTACTGTTAGAAAACGGAAATTCTCATGGAATATTTTAAATATGAAAAGATTCGATTTGGGAATTCTGACAAAATGTAATATATTTCTAATCCAAATTTGTTCAAAAGGAACTACAGGTCACTAATAGAGAGATGTACAAAAAGTGGATAGGATTTTATACAGTAGGTCAAGTGGTAATAAAGGACAAGCATAATGGTTTTAGTGAATACAAAGATATCACATTATCAATAAAGCTTATAAAATTGCTAACAATATACACCTATGTACAGTAAATGTTAATAAAAGAGTGGTCTTTACAACTTCAACACGCCTACTCTTCGTGTACATACTTTAAAAGAGCCGGTAAAGGCTTAGCTAAAATCATAACAACAATTAGGATTATATTAGAGGTAGCAGCAGATTTGGGATCTCGGTTCATTTTACTTCTCAGCAGGTTCCTTCATATTTTTACCATTGGGGATAATGCATGTTTTAATAAGAATCTTCATATTTTTCACAATAATTGGCCAAGCATCCAGCTTTAAATACCATTCATTCATTCAAGTGGTTTCTCCACAGACACCAGTGTCGTGACACCCACAGGACAAGAACAACAAAAGTCTTTCTCACAAACACACATATGCCCTGCTCTTCTGTCACTTACTATCCTTCATTAATGTTCATGTTTACATCACAGTCTTTACTCCTAACATCCCCCTATCGCCTTAACCCTGGTGGCTTAGTGGTTTACAAATGTGGTGCTTTTTGATACAGTTCATTTGTTATTTGAGAGCTTTGTGAAGCAGCAGCTGTTATTCTCATAGCCATATTGTGGCCTTGGATTGTGTCCCTGTTGCTTTACCAAACTCTGTTATGTCTGAACCATTTCCTTATAACAGTCTTTGTTGTGGCTTTCCAGTGACTGTCCTCTACTCCACTAAACCCAGTCAGTGTTTGGAAAAAGGCAATCTGAGGCAGTAGTTCAATGAGACACTTCAGTTTTGTAGTTGTTCAGGACTGGTAGAAGTGGTGGTAGTGGTGATGGTGTTCATGGTGATGGTGATGCTCATGCCGCTGGACCACTTGTGCCCCATCGTAGAGCACCACACTGGGCATGTCCCGCACCTGCTCCTTCTCCACCACTGCCCCAGTAGTAGACACATGTCCCAAAGCCCGATAGCCCTGACTGTCCTTGGACCTTTGCTTGAGCTTGCGATAAGGTGCAGTCGATTGGTGAGGGGGCGTTTGGCTGGGCAGGGTGGGGGCAGACGAGTTTCCTCTACTCCTTATTGCCCTGCTGTTGTTTTGTGTGGGACCCATACGGCTGTGGGTCTTAGGAGAGCGGATGCTATGTTTGCCTGGTTCGTGCACTCGTAACCGCACAGCATGAAGGCCGTCGGGGGTGTCCACTACAGCCTGTAAGCGGCGATGGTGGGCATGAGAGTGCCCGTTTTCAGGTTCTTGAGAACGGGAACGTGTTTGGTTGGATGGCCGTGTCTGAGGCTCTGCCTTTGTTGTCTCTGTAGCAGGCACTGTGATGGAACATAGAGTAGTGTTTCAGTCACAGAGCAAGGCATACCAAAACATTCAGATTCATTAATGGCACATTTAAGCTGTTTGCCTTAATAGATAAGATTTTGCACCTATATTGCACTTAAATCTTTTACTTTTTTATTGTAAGGTTTTTTTCATGCCACCTTTATACTTTATGTATGTGTACTGCACATTAAAGCAATGGTTTAGTGTGTCTGATTTACATCAAGAAACTGCTACTCATCATGATGGGGCAACACATTTTCCTAACAGAAGCATATTACTCTAATATATTGGTACTTAAGTTTTGGGTTATTTGCCATTTGCAGTATAAAAAAACTTCCTAGAAAAAAGGAGAGAGAAGCCCAAAGTGTATCATTATTTGTTAGAATTATGACTGAAGTTCTAATGTAAAAACTGTATTCCAATGGCCTGAAACTAGAGCAGTTGCTCTATATAACCAGATGTCTGTATTGGAAATGGAAAGCACCACAGACGGCCAGTATTTATCTAATTGCTCTAAGTGGGTGCTGAAATAATGAGGACTTTGAATAGTGATGACTTTTTGTTCATTTTTAGACTTGAAACATGTCAATGCTTGCTCTCACCAGTTCCAAAGCGAGACGTATAGTTCTCAATCCCAGCTAGATCCAAGTAGTGGTTCCTGCGCTCCAGGTTCTCGTCCACACAGTGGCGCTGGCAGCCAGGCTGGGTGTGGTGGTCACTGTGGTGGCGCCTGTGAACACAGCAGTCACCTCTCATTAGGCACCATTGGGCACTTCAACTACAGAATAATGTGCTTGGTGAAAGTTAAATAAGTGTTCTTTATGACCAAGCAGCTGGAGAATGATGGTTGGGGAAGTAAGATTATGACTGGAAAATCACAGGTTTAAACCTCAGCACAAGCAACAAGGCAAAAGGATGAAGGTAAAAATAGCCCCAAAGTAAAATACATGGATTCCAGACCAGCCTTAAAAGGATGTTGGTTTACCTTTGGAGCGCGCGAGTCTTTTTGTCTGCACTCTTGGGGTCTTCTGTGCACTTGTCATTTTTCTCTCTGGAGTGGGATGTGTCTGTTTATGAGCCAAAGACATGAGGCTATTATCAAAGAGAGCTTTGCACACGACAGTCAGCCACACACACATACCATGACAGTTACACAAGCCTTGAAGAAAGCAATCTTTGTTTTAGGATTTGACTTTGAAGATCTATGGAGAAGGAAAAACAATGCTTCATTTATTCTATTTCCATCCCCTGCTCTGTAAAGCATGGAATGAATCAAGCTGGCCTCAGAAAGAGATTATTAAGGATGCGACTTCTGAAGCAGCTCAAAATTAGAATGAAGGCACACCACAAAAGATTCAAAGCAAGTTCTGTCTCTTTTGCTCAGATATTTATAGCTAAAACAACAGGATGCAAACACACAGGAATATATACTTTTTTCAGCTATTTCTCCCTGACTCTTGTTTACCAAGTCGTCAGCAGTGAGAAAAGTTAAGTTGAACGTAGCTATATTTCCCCGGCAGCTCAGAGGAGGGGGGTTGAAAAAAAGAACATTTGAGGGGAAAAAATGGCTGTGGTTATCAAAAGGATTCAGCACAACTCTTAAGGTTTCTTTCAGAGTATTTGAAGGCACAGGGGGTGGGGGGAGGGGGAGCTCTCTTGGCTCTGTCACTCCCCCCATCATTAAAAATGAACCCCATTGAGTAGAAGAGATGGAGTGATGCAGAGGCTGTGAGGAACAAAGCTGTGACAGGCCTGAAGCAGTCGCCTTTCTACGTGACACACACGCCTGTCTCTGGGTGAGCCTCCAGAGCGCTGCACACGGGGACCCAGGCATGCCCTTTCTGCCCCTGTGCCTCCATCAGCAGTCTCAGCACTACACGAAATGAACAAACCTTGTGGACAGCTTCTCCAACGCTGGCTGGAGTCTGGGGCGACAGAGAGCTTGACCCGGAGAGTCTTACTACTGCTGGGGGAATGGTTGACCGAGGCATCCACCACTTCATAGATAGTGTGAAGCAAGCTGGTGATATCCTACAGGACAATACAGCAGTTAAATGGTCATGCCAAACAGACAGTATTATGAGAAAATTAGAAAAATATGTTTTTAAATCAATATTATACATCTGTCAAGGACTTTTCAAGTACTTAGAAAGTGGCACAGTACAGAGAACAGGAAGACACTCTTGTCAGTAGCTGAAAAGATAAGATATGGTCTGATCACAAGTTCTACTTTTACGAAAGAAATGTCAAGGCAGAAGCAGGGGAACATGACTGAGACGTCAGGCCTCATACCAGTTCTACAGAAATCTAATCTGTAAAGTTTTTTGATTATGATAATGAAATTATTTATTTTTCTAATGTAATCTGAACATGTCTTAACTATAAGTAACAAATAACTACATCAATCATACTGGGAATGCAGAGTGGAAAGGAGTATATCCTTCCACATCAATGAAAGCTAAAGAAGTGCCATTCAAGATGTTCAAAAATATGTGTTATTTGTGTACTGCTCAAAGTAAAATATAAGTACCTCTCTTGTGACTTTGCCATTGTTGTCAAAGTCATAGAGGGTGAAAGTCCACTCCTGCCTGTTATCTTCCTCCACAGACACGGCACACTCCAGCTCCTACAAAAGGCAACATTAATCCATCAAATGTACAGTGCGAGTACACTACATGCAGTCCTATTGCCCTAGTTTCTTCCAGAGGGGAGGCAGTAAACAGTGTGTTGAGGGCTGACACTCACTTCAAACTGGAGCTGTTTCTGCGGCCCTGCGGGAGACTGGCGGTCCCTCTCCAGCATCTTCTCCTCCACACAGCAGCTGTCTGTCTTCTCCGGGGGTAGAGCCACTGTAGAGACACACACAGATAAAAGCCAGAGCCTGAGGATGGAAACCTTGGGTGCAGTCATAACCTGAGGATATGCCGCTTCCTTCATGTTCCTTCTAAAGCACTACTTCCAAGTTTGGCAGTCACAATTAAGACACATTACTGGCTTATGTGCTTCAGCTCAAAGAAAGTCTGTGGTAATCATATGTTTTATATTATGATATACTTAGAGAATTGTTTTTGCAAAGTTAAAGTATTGGTATAATTAGCATTTAGAATAATTTTAATTTGAAGCATCATTATTCAAAAACTAAAATTTATTTTGCCACAATGTTTTAGCCTGATATTTTAAGAATCATTCATGACAAAATGTCACTAATAGTAAAACTACACTTTTAATCATGTCCTGTATGTCTAGCCACCTACTTGTAGACAGTCCCAGTGGGAGCACACAAAGAAAAAATGTCTGACATGAAACTGAAAGGGATAACATGTCTCCAACACGAGAGCCTTCTGTGGTATTTGAATATAAATGAGTGGGATAAGGACAGAATGTGAACATCAAAAGGCCTATAGGAGGCCCCTGGGTCCCAGCTCAGTGCAACAGAGCGCTCCATGCAATGGTGGGACATTTAACATGTATTCTCACAGACAGAATACAGCCTTTAGAGGGGATGTTTAATATGTCATGTGCATTGTCTTTCAGAGACTACGCTCACCACACATTGACAGACAGGGCCAAGGGCAGTTGAAGAGCCTTTGCACCCTATGTCAATTGCAGTTTATCTTGTAATTTGGGAAACTTAGTAGCAGTACATTATTTTAAGGAATCAACAGAACTTTAGATGGTATATGGCCATAAAATTATATAATAAAAAAAACAAATAACATTGACAACTTCCAATCTAATTCACAAATCACTCACATGTAACTGAGATTTGGAGGCAATACACCCCTAAAAGACTCACTGGATTACACCTCTGGTCATTAATCTTAGCATAAGCATCAGGCTGAAGTGCCATATGCAATCAGAGTCTTCCATACATAGACCACACACCCCCACCCCCCTCTGTCCACCACACTTTGAAGTTCCGTTTTCAAACCTTTTGGAAGAGGATCAGAACGGCTGTAAAACAGAATCACTAATTAATTAAGCCAAGTCAAATTTGAAACACTGTTTGTTTGCTCGCCAACAAAGCAGACACAACAGCCACAATTTCTCTCCTCCTGATCCAAAGCAGATCAAAGCGGACCTGTCTCATCCCTGGGCAGAGGAAATGCCAGAAATGAAAGGCATCATCCCAGGGAGCTTTTACCAACTTTTGGAGAGAAGCAGCATTCTGCGCCCTGCTGTTTGATCATCTGAGGTGTGCACAGGAAACGCTGTGCGTGAGGGCAAATCTCTTCCATCGCAGACTCAATCTGGTGGAAGATGCTAATCTGGAGCTAATGAAATGCCAGGAGGAGTAACAGTAATCTGCCTCTCTCACCTCAACACAGTGATAAGCCTCTCTCTATGAGAGAAACACCCTCAGAGGATTGGCTGGGGGATCTGAGGGGCAACATGAGGGCAGTGTGGGCTGGCACAGACACCACTGTCCTGTTCCAGCGGCACAGCTCCACACACGTGCAGACACTTGAACAGAGCCGAGAGTCGCAGAGGTCTGAGCCAGCTCAGCAGTACTGAGTACTGTATTACACCAACATGATCTGCCTCAGATCTGCGTCTGGCTCCAGAGAACAGGTGAATTCAAATGGAGGTAGACCACACTTTTCACAAAACACTGGCAAGAATGAGCTGCTCCTTAGACGACTACAGAACACTTAAAACAAGAGCGAATAAAAGCTTGTGTAAGCCTTTCTTTTTGAACACTTGCTATATCAATGTAACATATCCTAAGGATGTTTCATCATAGAGCTTTCTTTTTAATCTGCAGAAATATTTTTGAAAGTTACACCAAAACCCAGAGGAGAAAAGCTTTCAGTTACGACAGCCGGTCATTTCTCTGCACACTTTCCATTTGTAGTGTTTAGAAACATAGATTCCTCATGCATTACAACCGATTAATATTTTGATTTATATTTTTATTATAAAATCCCAGTGATGATACTACAATCAATATTACAACTACACTTCACATTAGGATAATAAAAATACCACATATAACCCTGTGTGGTCAAGACATGAACCAGACAAAATAAACAGAGCAGCCCAGTTTTAATGAGGTCCATCTGTCTTAGGGAGAGCCCTTAATGACTAATATTCATACGTACACTTAATGTAAGTGTCATTTTATGTTCTAGTTCATGAATCCCACTAAACATTTTCTGACAACCTTCACACCCGCATAACACATCATGTTGACTTTAGATGCAAGGCAAAGGCTTTCTCTTTGTGGAGCTCTTAATCCAGGATCACATCACATCAGGGATAAAACATGGGGGAAGGAGGCAGTTTGCACAGCCCATAGGGGGAGGGTAGGAGAGGTAAAGCGACTGCCTCAGCACATTGTTGGGACTTTGAAAAGGGGCACAGAGATATGCCATACAGATAAATGAATTAGTTTTACTCAAATACAGTATGTTTTCATTTCAAATCCAAATGAATAAAGAGTTCTTACCTTCTAAACGATAGTGTTCATTGCCAATTCCTTCTGCACAGACGTCAGCAGAGTCCTAAAAAACGCAAAAGAAATATATCATTGGTTTGAATTTGAAAGTTTGCACATAAAACAAACAAGTTTAATGACGCAAATCCCAAGTGGCTTTCCCACAGGAATCAATGCACACAGATTAAAATTATAGCATTTCCAACTCTTTATATGGCCAAAGTTTGACAACTGTGCACCAGGCTTCCACAGAAGTAGACATTTAAATTGAACATAATTGCAGGACTGGGACCAACTGGCAGAAAGAATTGAAACTATGAGAGTATCTAAATCACAACTGCCTGAGCTACAGTAAGTTCTGAGAAAGAGGTTTAGGCTGTGGGGATATTTCTGTGGAGGCTGCTTGTTGTTGCAGCGATATGCTTGTTTTTATCCTGGGTCATTTTCACTTAGGTCTGTTGGCAGCTCTGTATGTGAGCACATACCACAGTGACTGGAGCGACATGTGATCCACAGCTTCACCATGGAAAAGTCTGATCAGGTGTCCAAGTGGCATTACAGTCAACTGCCCCAAAAACATGACTTACAGGCTGACAAACAGAAATAGTGTTTCTGAGTTGCATTATTCATAACATTCTCCTGCTAGGCCAATGAAAAGACCAAGCCCATTTGAAAACTTTGATTCCATTTGAATGCATATTCTCAGTGTGGTAAATGAAGAACTATGTTTACAAATTAAGTGGCGAACATCAGTAGGAGTACATCTTATTGTAAATGTAGCCTAAAAATTCCAAGCTCATAAATCAGAACTGAGCATAGTAATTGGTCAAAATGTTTCCAGTTATAAAAGATAATCTTTACACATATAGATACGTTATAAATTATGGTTGATTAATCCGTTTTGCTTTGACCCCCTGTGGGTGGCCTGACCTGGGGAATGGAGCAAGCAGGGTGCTGACTGTCTGTCAGATCATGAGGCTGATAGCTCTAGAGCCAGGCCTCTGGATTAGTCTCTGTTTGTTGATGGTATGAGCAGGTCAACACACACCTAGTATTATGGTCTGGACTCATGCCGCACCTCCTGAGCTTGTTTTAAACCCAGCTCAGTATGATTAAATGGTCAAGAATCATAAGAACAGCAATACTGTCAGAAAGAGAGCATGCAAATTCATGGACTTTTCAAATTGTTCGCATAGATCACAAAAGTTCAAATGCAATACACATAATAATACACATAGTTAATGTTTTTTGTACCTTTAATATGTGAGAATGAATGTAGTTTTTGCTACTATTGTCAATGAGCTACTGCAACAAAAATAAAATATCTAATCTAATGTAAAATATAGCTATATCACACATCTAATCTAATCTAAAAATAAAATATCTAATCAAATGTTGTATTATATATCAGCCACAACTCCTGTTCCACAGGCCTCTCACTGGAGGAATCAATACAGACTTCTTTGAGTTCCTAATGCCTGAAAAAAAAAATAACACAGGCAACATGTCTTTTTTAAGAATTAATAATCCAATTGCATTTTGCCAACAGTCATGGATGGGACCTTTATATACCATTGCTTCTGTATGGAATTCTTATGGTCAGCTAATTTTTATAAGAAGCAAGCTTAGCTCAACATGGAAGCATATAGGAAGTAATCATTTTGTGAATGTAGTTTGGAACAATTACTCAGTTTGTAATTTTGGCTGAAGTAACTCAATCTCTCTCTTTTGGTTAGCCTTGGAGAGCCTTGGGTTGAGTCTGGGAGTCCCAGCTGAGACTGCAGTACCTGGGTCTAAGACATGGCCAGCTCGGTTGTGATAAGAATATAAACAAAATTCAACCAAAATATACTTTTATCATTTATAGATTGTTCCAGTAAAACTAACAGTAAAGGTTGAGAGGTGCCGGCTTGATATAGTCAGGCTCACCTCCACGCACAGCTTGGGCTCTGGTACCCAACGTCTCGAGAGGGGTTGGACCCTCCATTTTTCTGGTGTTGCCTGCGGGGAGCGGCGGCGGGCTGGTGTGGGCTTGCTTATAGCCCTACAGCTCAGCCGCCACGTGTTGGAGTTCACCCCGGTGAACGAGAGGGTCGAGTCCCTGCGCCTTCGGGTCGGGAACAGGTCTCTCACTGTGGTGCCGGCCTATGGGCCGAACAGCAGTGCAGAGTACCCGGCCTTCTTGGAGTTCCTGGGAGGGGTACTAGACAGTGCACCAACCGAGGACTCCGTTGTTCTACTGGGGGACTTCAACTCCCACGTGGGCAACGCCATTGACACCTGGAGAGGGGTGATTGGGATCTGAACCCAAGCGGTGTTCTGTTATTGGACTTCTGTGCTAGTCACAGTTTGTCCATAACAAACACCATGTTCGAGCACAACGGTGTCCATCAGTGCATGTGGCACCAGAACACCCTAGGCCGGAGGTTGATAATCGACTTTGTCGTCGTGTCATCTGACCTCCGGCCACGTGTCTTGGACACTCGGGTGAATAGAGGGGCAGAGCTGTCAACCGATCACCACCTGGTTGTGAGTTGGATCCGCTGGCAGCGGAGGAAGCCGGAAAGACCTGGCAGGCCCAAGCGTGTAGTGAGGGTCTGTTGGGAACTTCTGGTGGAGCCCTCTGTCAGCAGGATTTTCAACTCGCACCTCGAGAGCTTCTACCAGATCCCGGGGGAGGTTGGGGACATGGAGTCCGAGTGGGTACTGTTCTCCACCTCCATTGTCAATGCGGCCGCTCGTAGCTGTGGGCGTCAGGTCTGTGGTGCCTGTCATGGTGGCAATCCCCAAACCCAGTGGTGGACGCTGGAAGTAAGGGATGCCTTCAGGCTGAAGAAGGAGTCTTATTGGGCCTTGTTGGCTCGTGGGACTCCTGAGGCAGCTGACGGGTACCGGTAGGCGAAGCGTGCGACAGCTCGTGCGATCGCGGAGGCAAAAACTCGGAGTTGGGAGGAGTTCAGAGAGGCCATGGAGGAGGACTATCGGACGGTCTCAAAGAGATTCTGGCAAACCGTTCAGTGCCTCAGGAGGGGGAAGCAGTTCTTCACCAACACTGTTTACAGTGTGGGGGGAGAGCTGTTGACCTCTACTGGGGATGTTGTCGGACAGTGGAAGGAATACTTTGAGGATCTCCTCAATCCCACCGTCACACCTTCCGAGGAGGAAGCCGAGACTGGGGACCCAGAGGCGGACACATCCATCACCCTGGTGGCAAGGATGAGGGGGTGGATGAGATCTGTCCTGAGTACCTTAAGTCTTTGGATTTTGTGGGGCTGTCTTGGTTGACACGTCTCTGCAACATCGTGTGGCGGTCAGGGACAATACCTCTGGACTGGCAAGCCGGAGTGGTAGTCCCTTTGTTTAAGAAGGGGGACCGGAGGGTGTGTTCCAATTATAGGGGAATCACACTCCACAGCCTCCCCGGTAAGGTCTATTCCAGGGTACTGGAGAGGAGAATCCATCCGATAGTCTTCCCATCCCTTTGCTAAGGGCTGTCCGGTCCCTGTATGAGCAGAAGCTGTGTTCGCATTGCCAGCAGTAAGTCGGACCTGTTCCCAGTGCATGTTGGACTCCGCCAGGGCTGCCCTTTGTCACCGGTTCTGTTCATAGTTTTTATCGACAGAATTTCTAGGCGCAGCCAGGGACCGGAGGGGGTCCAGATTGGGGACCACAGGATCTCATCTCTGCTGTTTGCAGATGATGTTGTCCTGTTGGCTTCATCAAGCCAGGACCTGCAGTGTGCACTGTTGTGGTTTGCAGCCGAGTGTGAAGCGGCTGGGATGAAGATCAGCTCCTCCAAATCCGAGGCCATGGTTCTCGACCGGAAAAAGGTGGCTTGCCCTCTCCAGGTGAGTGGAGAGTCCCTGCCTCAAGTGGAGGAGTTCAAGTATCTCGGGGTCTTGTTCACGAGTGAGGGGAGGATGGAGCGTGAGATTGACAGGTGGATCGGTGCAGCATTGGCAGTGATGCAGTCACTGCATCGGACTGTTGTGGTGAAGAGGGAGCTGAGCCAAAAGGCAAAGCTCTCGATTTACCGGTCAGTCTACGTTCCCACCCTCATGAGCTTTGGGTAATGACCAAAAGGATGAGATCGCAGATACAAGCGGCAGAAATTAGTTTCCTCCGCAGGGTGACTGGGCACTCGCTCCCTTAGAGATAGGGTGAGGAGCTCAGTCACACGGGAGGAGCTCAGAGTAGAGCCACTGCTCCTTCACGTTGAGAGGAGCCATTTGAGGTGGCTCGGGCATCGGTTCTGGGTGGCTCCTGGGCGCCTCCCTCGGGAGGTGTTCTGGGCATGTCCCACCGAGAGGAGGCCCCGGGGAAGACCCAGGACACGCTGGAGGTACTATGTCTCTCGGCTGGCCTGGGAACACCTCGGGGTCCCCCCGGAAGAGCTGGAGGAAGTGTGAGTGGAAAGGGAAGTCTGGGAGTCCCCGCTTAGACTGCTGCCTCCGCGACCCGGCCCCGGAAAGAAGCGGAAGAAAATGGATGGATAGATGAAAGGTTCCAGTACAACACATCAGAACCAAATTGATGAATTGGGTACAGCAACAAGGAAGATAACAGGACATGTGTTGTATATAAGAAAGGCTACCATATTTGTGTAGTACTTTTACATTTACTTCAGTTATTGCATTGACAGCATTTAAAAGAAAACCACTCGGGATTCTTCTTCAAACTTCTTCAGACATAAACATAATCTACCTCACCAAAGCTTTCTGTTAGCTGCACACACTGCTAATATCACACATTTCGATCACCCTGACAGACCACTTCAGACAGTCCAAACATAACTGAGTGAAGACACCACCTGGAGACATTCTCTAGAGTAATTCTCTGAGCACATGCAGCTGGCCAGGACAAAGTGTGACTGCAGTTCTCCAAGACCCTGTGGAGAAGAGTCTGAAGGAGGCAGTGACATTATGACCCACCGTGCAAGCTGACAATTTATGCAGCCGATGACAGCTCCCCTTCATTGCATGCCAGGGTGGGGCAGGCCTCCACAGCAATGGCAGCCCCACTGGCACTTCATCAAAACCAGGGGAAAAATCTAATTACGACTGTGGC